CTGGGACGCATGTATTCATTGGCTGGCCGCCTTCGGAGTTGAGAATCAGACAGCAGGAATTCATCAAATCAATCCAATCAGGAATGCGAGCTACCAAATGTACAGCATATCAGCAACATGGAGCCCTGCCTGCTCAGTTCCATGTGCACACGCAATTCCTTAAATGAACGACCAACGCTGCATCTCATCGACATGCATGGGACGTAAAAGAATACAGGAGGCTTGGGAAATCCATTCTTCTAGTGGCACGATTCCCACCATCCAGTATCCTAAACGTTGAGCACGAAGCATGTTGTCTCTGCTGGTAGGCTTTCTATTTCGCACAGCTAGACGTTCTCGTCACAGGAAAACCATGCAACCCAACGATCAGGGACAGGAGAAACGGGAAGACTGCTCCAGTAGCAACATCCCCTGCAACAGAACAAGGTAGACCCTGTCCTTGCACTGCAGAAGCCAGAACCTAAAGATAGGAAAACCAAGTGAGGTGTTGTTCTTTCGCATACAGGCACGCATCCACAACACACCGACAGCATCTGACTATGCTAAAACCACCTTTCCACCCAGGTTCCATCCACAAACAAAAACACAGAAATCTCCACAGCTACATTGCCAGGGAGAAAAGTCTGATGATCCCCCCATTCTCAACACGGGCGCAGAGGCCCTTGAGTGCTGTCACACGCACAAAGCCATAAGAATACATGAGAGTCGCCCTCCATGCACAAAATTCAGCAGGCATCACCGACAAACAACAAACACACGACCGACTTTCACAGACTGGCACAGACAGGCGAGTGGGAATGGAATCAGGTGGCTAGTCAAGAGGCCCAAAACATGCCGCTGGATCTTTCAGATGCAAGAGTACAATCTCCTACCTTGCAAAAAAAAAAGGGATCATTGCATTATTGGCATGCACAAGTCCGAGGGCTTCGTATCTGCACTAAGACGCTTCTCTAATGGCACTGGAAGCATAACAAAATGCACCAAACGAGGAAGAGGCTCGTCTAATGGCACTGGAAGCATAACAAAATGCACCAAACGAGGATAAGGAAACTCACACACCATGCAGCAGAACAACAGGAGGAGGCAAGTGCAGTTACCAAATAATCTGCATGACAAAACAGAGCAGACCCTTTTCTCAACAACTATGAGCCCACACGCATGCACCTTTGAGAAGAGTGAGCTTGACAGCATGTACAAGTGAAATAACCATCACCATTTGTGATTAAAGAAGAGTACAAAATCCAAAGAGAAGAACAAATCACCTGCTGCTCAAGGACTCCTTGCATTAGCCAATACACCAGGCGTTCACTTTTCATCTTCAACACTCCCCCGATGACCAGGCAGAACCTTTATCTCTTCATCAATCCTCCTGATGTTGCCCCGATCATACCAGGCAACAGTCTCAAAGGTGGAGTGGAGAGCACACCCGATGAGAACAGCTTGGAGCTCATGCAGCGAGGAGCCAAGTTAGCAGGGAATTGTTTGTGTACATGTGCATAAGAGGGGGGGCGGGGGGTAGCACGAGCCAGGGCGAGGGTGGGGCTGCAGTAGACGAGAAGAACAGTAACTTACACCAGACAGAGAAAAGTAACTGACATAAAAATTTCAAGATATTTACGAGAGAGAAAAAGTTACATGAAGGGCTACAAAGAGCTCGAGAAGCCTGGCCGCACTGAGCAGAGAGACTGCTAATTTACACCAAACACCAAAGCAGCATCCCCCCCCCCCCCMCCTTTCCCYCCCYCCCACAAGGCATACCAAACACTCTGCAGCCAGATGATCTCAGGCACACCTCGCTGCCAGCCAATTGAACCTGTTGAGAAAGCATCTGGCCTGCCCACCCCCCTTCACTTGACCCACAACCAACATGGTAACTTCCCACCCCTCCGTCGATGTAGGACACAAAACTGGAACTCCACTTCGACATCCCTGCTGTTCCTCCCTCCCTCAACGGAAGTGCCTCCGGCTGGAAACGCCCCGTTTCCTGCTGTCAGCAGTCAGTCCTACCTGCTTGAATACCACAGGCACAGCTCGCATTATCCCAGCCATTTATCGATGATCCATCCGCATATTCGCGCGCGTGCAGCTACATATATTCTACACCCTTTGGAAGCAGACCATCCTCTGCACATTCTCTGTGTTACAGCACAAAAAGCCACAAAGACATGAGGCACATTGCAACCTTTTGTAAGTCTTCCGGCATGCATGAGAACACGGCACACATACAAGACTGTTAGCACTATTTCAGCAGTCCACTGAGAAACTGAAGCTGCTACTCCACAACAAAACTAAGGCCATGCAGTTATATCGAGCACGGTCAAACATAAGCCATGCCAATGGCCCTGTCCAACCCGCTTGTAAGATTATTCTTCTCCCAAGCACACAGAGCCACATCGCCACAACCTGCTAAAAACTAGACATAAGATTGCAGAACAGCGAGCGGCTGCAATTATGTTGAGGCTCAACATGACACGTCGATCTCCTGCCAACTACACACCTAGTTGGCAGGTTTTGCTATCAGTTGCCTGTGTTCTGGCCCTTCAACCATCACGTTTGGAAAATAGAAAAGTTCTCAAGAGAAAAGAACAACGGGATCCCCGAACTTCGACCAGCTACTGGCTGACGGGATCCCCGATCTTCGACCAGCTACTGGCTGATCAGGCTCCCCATACATGTTAACATCTCCAGCTTGTGTTTCGATAACAGGTAAAGCAGTCAGACTACCTGCACCAGCTTGGTCTGACATTTTGGCAGCTCCCCATACATGTTAACATCTCAGTGTGGGAAGGATAGGAATCAAAGTGAGGACACCCGCACAAAAGCAGATTTGCAACTCCTAACTGGCAGTCAAGGCCCAGCCGTTGGGAAAAGGATAGTTTCCCACCCCAAACTAAGAGTCGTGACTCAGTAGGTGCAAACGAGTGAGGAGTTCTACATGGCGTACACAGCATGCATTACGCAATGCAACAACCATCATGCAATCAGCGCTCGTCCTTTCCTGAAGAGGTCATGTCTCTACTGTAATCTAACAGCATGTCTGCTTCAGACAGTGCATTCATTAATCAGTGCATCTTCCTCTACCCTGAGAGGACGTGCACACAGGCACACATGCTGTGCATCGTGCACACATTCTCCCTACCATTACCTCCAAGCCGCTTTTTCCACTGTGGATTTCTGCTGCAAGCCAAGGGCAAAAAGAACCGGCGGCTCTTTGAGGTGCCGTCAGCCAAAAAGGTCCAGGCGAGCCCCTGAAGAACGCACTAGTGGGCAACTTCCTTGCGGAAGTGTTCCTGGGAGAAGGTAGCAGTGGTGTAATCTGCCATCTGCACTCAACATCCGCATAGGCTATGAACGCCCATCCTGTTATACCGCACCAAATGTGGGCAGAAACAAAAAAAAATCCGCGGTGATGAGATGCGCATAAACAGTACATTGACTGAGGGTGGGACGTGCTGCAAGGAGGGCAGGTGCCTCCTCACCCACCACCCCCCTGCCCCTGGGACAGGTTCCAAGATGGCAGAAAAGAACTACAAACATATATGCAGATTACCTGTTGCGGCTCTTCCTGCGAAAAGCAACACATGGACAAAACTCTCTCTCTCTCTCTCTCTCTCACACACACACATCCCGAAATGTCAAGAACGGGTGGAGAAAGAGAAAACACAGCCTCACTCCTCTCAAAACCTCTAGTGAGAAAAGAGCCACACTCTCCCTCACTCCTCTTCCTCTTCAATCAAAGATAATTCTCTCTCTCTCTCTCTCTCTCTCTCTCTCTCTCTCTCTCTCTCTCTCCACAAACACACACACACACACACACACACACACACACACACACACATATGGTTGCCCTGCCTCTATCCAGTTCTCCATCGTCCACCAGCTCGCCAACCATTGTCACCATCCTCGAAATTCTCTCCACTTCTCATTGCCCACATACCCCTCCACACCCACTGATCTATAAACACGTGTGTGTGTGTGCTCGGGGCAGGGGAGGGAGGGTTCATGCATATGCACATGTTTTGTCATGTCCGCTACAAGAAAGCACAACTCTGGCAGACGTGCATGTGCACGTCTGTCCAAGCAATTGCCTGAGCACTCCATGGCAGCAACAGGAGAGAGGAGCCAACGTGCCTTCTTTGACCACCCAACAAAAGACTGTTTTCAACTGGTGGCTGTTCTTCCTTTCTTGCCGCCACCAACTGGTGGCTGTTCTTCCTTTCTTGCCGCCACCAAAACCCATATGCAACCACTGCATGCAAGAGGCCCTCCGGATAAAAATATTGGAGTTTGGACCTCGCACGCGTGGTACCGACCCTCTGAGCGACCCCGGATCCACCGAATGTGACAGCCAGATCACATGCTGATCATTTTCTCACCTGATGAGCACGCCAGCAATGCTTGTTCATCACTCTTGAAAATGTAATGCATCACGAGCATCGACAAACCCAATGACGCAGAGGCCCAGTTCGTATCCACCCTCGCCAAATTTTCACTAATCTAGTAATCGAGCTGTCAATTTCGAATTTTTTTTCAGTTCTGAGGTATCATTCTCTAATAAACGTAAAGTCCGTGTTGCAGACGTTTTATTGTTTTTTTTCCCCAAATGGAACAAATGCTTTCCATGAAACCAACACTGTGCCACCTTGCATATTCCACAACATCACCCTGCAGCTGTGGTTCGAGGCATTGTTACATGGTTAGCTTCCCGGACTTTAACCACCAGTATCCCACCAGGCAACTGAAGAATTGAAATTGACTCAATGCGAAGATTTCAGATGAACAACGCGACCGGACCAACATGGCCGGTGGTGACAGCCACAAAAGAAAAAAAATGCAGCGCTGGGGGTTTGTTTTTCTTTGGCACACAGTGCAGATCCACGTTGGTAAAAGGCAGCTCAGAGGTGCTGGTGGTTTAAGACCCAGAAAGGGAAGGTCCAGCCAGAGGTGCTGGTGGTTTAAGACCCAGAAAAGAGAAGGTCCAGCACAGCATCACTTTGGAGGCAGTCTTACTTTTCAGTTGGATTTCACAGCTGCACCCTGTGCCTCGCACAGGGCCCAGTGCACAGCCTCTCTCTCCCCAGGACCCTAGGTATAAACAGGTCACATCTCGTAAGAGCATCTTCAAAAAATCAATTATCCTCCAGCACAGCCATGCACGGGATTCCATCTGCCCATGGACAAACATGCCATGTGCTGGACATCGCCAACTACTAATGCAGACTGGTCTGAGCTCAACAAGTTGCTAAAGTGGTTTCCTTCCTTTTCCCCTCACCTTTCAAAGGGCGTTCTGCCAGAAACATTATTATATCCACCAGGACCTGAGACTCAGGGGGTGTCTGGAATTCCACCTGCACATGGACAGCCCTGCCATACGCTGGACGTCTTCTTTTTCTTTTAGATTCCTCTCTCAATTTCACCTTTCACTACCTGCCTGCTACTACTACTAATCATATGGTATTTCGAGGAACCTCGTAGCAGCGACAACCGTGTTCACGAGAGAGAACATGTGGGAGCTGCACCTGACCTGCAGGTGGGCGATACCAGACAGGGGACAGTCGGTATCATCAGGGACCATGCCAATGTCGATCAACGGATCCACTGGCCTATCTGTAGGTGGCAGCACGAAGCTTGCCCAGTAAGGTACATGAGGCTAATCAGGATTGAACCCAAGACCACCTGAATGCCACTTGCAAGCCTTACCAACTAAGCAAGGCCGCTGGATCATGTGCTGGATTCCAGCTAAATACTAATTCAGACTGCTCTGAGCTCATACAGACTGCAATGTAGTCTCCCTTCCTTTCCCCCACATTCTGCAAGGGGGTCTGCCCGTAACATCATTATATTCACCAGGGTTTGAACTCATCGGCTGTTTATCAATAGCCATATATGGGTACTATTCAGAGAAGGTATCATATCTGAAGCAATCAGCCATCATACCTCAGGCTTTCAAAACATCCAGAACCTCAAAGCGTCATCAGGTTACGAGCCCATGCCAAGATACACAGGCAGGTCAAACGTGAAAGGGGGA